AAGCTAAATGCTGTAACAAAGAAAACAGAAACAGTTTGGAAATTTGTTTTTAATCCTGTAAGACTGCAATTATGTTTACTTCAGGGTTTATCTTGCATGCATTATCAGTCTCAAAGACATATTGCTTCATTCCAGAGCCTGAAATAACGGAGGAAATCGGACATTTTCCAACCAGTTTTTCCGACCAAATGCTAAATTGGTCAGGCATTTTGCCCGAACAGAAAATAGCAATCAACCTTCTTGAAAGACTGGGTTAACAACAAACTGCATCCAATCCTCCCGCAAAGAACATTAAAATTAAATGTAAATACTGGCTAGTGTTTGGCATGAAGTATTATTTATACATGCATTGGCTTAATTTACCCAACGAAGGCATGAAATCAAAATGGAATCGAAAAAAAGTCCGACCAAATTTTAAAAGTTTCCGATTAAATTTCATTTTGGTCGGACATTTTTCCGGACAAATTTTGAACGTTATTCCAGGCTCTGCATACGACAACAAATCTTAATTAACATGATCCATGCAGAGTGAAAAAGACAGTTCCCTATAATATTATATTGTAACCTTTTGAAGAAAATTTTGCGTCCTAATCCCATGTTTCCAGAAAGAAGAAAAACATTTTCCACCTCTACTATGCTTTAAAATATTTGTGAAAGAAACAGTACAAAAAGTTCTTTGAAAATTGTTGGATGAATCAGTCACCAATCCATGTACACACATAAATTAACGCAGGTTTACAGTATCAAAGTTTCTGTGATCACAGCAGGAATTTTGCATAGGTAAATTTTAAGTTTTGAAGGATTTGTAAGAAAGGTTTGTGGAAACTGACTCGTTGTTAAACACTGATTCAGTTCCCTCAAACATCTCTTATCTGTGCAAAATTCCTACTCTGATCACAGAAACTTAGTGCAAAACCAGTCTTTATAATATAGCTCAGTGGTCTTTACCCACGGTGCCCGTGGCGCACTGTGGGAAACCGCAAAACACAACCAAATTCAACACAACAATTTTCAAGCCTTATATATATGTACCTCGATATGAAAGTTGCTACGAACAGTTGCGGTGAATGGATTTGAAGATTGCTCTGTAACAAAGAAAAATTTGATGAGTAAAAACCTCAGATCTTGTCAACAAAGTGCGTTCCTAACAGGCCATATAGCAATATTGTCATCAAGGAGTGACAATGTTGTTAGTTTGTTCACTGTAGCGGCAGAGAATATAAACAATGATTTGATAACGCAGCACTTGGAGTCCTGTAATGACTGCTTTTATGTTCCGACAATGACCATTAGTCATTACTGACTTTACCACTTTTGGTATAAATGTTAACTAAATGTGATTGATCAATTTTAATTTGTCGAAAACACCACGGTCAAACGAGCGTTGATGTTAGTCTCGCTCACGTTTGAGCTGGTTCAAATTTTGATGAAAGTCGATCTCTGATGCAATTTTCGTTCTCGTTTGACCGGGACGTGAGGGTTGAGAAAACTCTCATGCAAATTCTCGCGAGAACAAGAGTTACATCAGCATTGATGAGAGTTGAGAAGCGAGAGTTTGCATGAGAGTTTTCTCAACTCTCATGCCCTGGTCAAACGAGAACAAGAGTTGCATGAGAGTTGAGAAAACTCTCATGCAAACTCTCGCTTCTCAACTCTCATCAACGCTGATGTAACTCTTGTTCTCGTTTGACCGGCGCATGGGAGTTGAGAAAACTCTCATGCAAACCCTCTCTTCTCGACTCTGATGTAACTCTTGTTCTCGTTTGACCGGCGCATTAGAGTTGAGAAAACTCTCATGCAAACTCTCGCTTCTCAACTCTCACCAATTCTGATGTAACTCTTGTTCTCGTTTGACCAGCGCATGAGAGTTGAGAAAACTCTCATGCAAGCTCTCGTTCCTCTTTAAACTTGAATGAATAAACTGAGAGATCATTACGAGAACATTATAAAGAAAATATCAACAACATGCATTACCATTTCCTGCTGGTATTGTCCTTGACTCACCCGTCATCTGGGAAAACAAATATTTAAAAATTATTCAAAATACTTCAAACAACTGTAGATTATGGGATGGGAAAACGAGGATAAGAGTTCGTAGTCATGCTTTGTACGGGGGACATTTCAAGCTCTAGATTAAGTAATAAAGGTTCAATGAGTGTTCCAACTATGTTTCAACTTAAATAAAATACATGATAGTGTTGGGAAAGCATTAAGAACAGCTAACCAAGCTCATGCCAACTCTCATCCTCGTTTGATCATGATATTAAGTCACAATTTCTAGTCACAATTTAGCAAGTAATAGGCAATTCCAGCTTTTAGTTTATGCGTGCAGGGGACGGTGGGAAGTAAGGTATCACATTGCTGATTATGCTGAAAAAATAAAAATGGCGGCCGTGTAAACACGGAGTGATAGCTTATACTTGTAAATATTGAAATATTTCGGCAGTTTTTATTGAAATTTTTCGGCATAATCAGCAATACGATACCTTACTTCCCAACATTCCCTGCAGGCATAAACTAAAAGCTGGAATTGCCTATTGGTTTCAGCAAATATGTATGTATGCGGAACTCGTATGTATGCAGAACTCACGAATGTATCTACTACATACTTGCATTTCGGCTCATATCAAGTGACCTTTCCCGGCCCAACCAATTCAAAACCACAATTAAGTATAGGTACCAGGTGATCTCGTGTTCGTATTTTAGCCAATCAGCGCTCAGAAAGGGTTGTCCGAATAGAAATCCATTTTGATGTATTCAGTCAATTATATCTTTCGTTATTCTTTATGAAACTAGTTGAAATTTTGTAATTATGTTTGGTTATGAGAACTATAGCTCTGACAAAAATATGGAATCGAAAGAAAGTATATTACAGGAGATATTCAGTTGTTTTAATCATAAAATGGATTTCTATTTGACAACTAGTGCCAGTACTTTTCCGCGTATCAAGATCTGCCTCCTCCGCAGGCCCTCGTTGCGTCATGGGAAGGTCACGATCTGGCGAGGGCCTGCGGAATCTTGTAAAATGAATAAATGTTGTTTTGAACCTGCCTCGTTAAAGAAGGCAGTTTTATTTGTGCAACATTGGTGTAGACAGCAAACCTTATCGTTAAAAAATGCTTCCTTCCACGTCCTAAGAGTCGCCAGTTTAATTTATAAGTTTCACGCCGCTTTTTTATATCTGTTTATATCCAAGATTATGTAGAAATTTACTTGCTGACGTGACGCCAGCGCCATTTTTTTTACAAGATTCCGCAGGCCCTCTCGAAATCGTGACCTTCCCATGACGCAACGAGGGCCTGCGGAGGAGGTACATATACAGTGTAAAACCTATATATCTCCCACAAGGCCTGGTATGAAAGATGATTTGATTGATCGGAGATAAAATTGGACTAAGAAGAAATTTTAGAGCCAATTGTATGTGCTTTTTTTTACATGTAACAGAACTTCGTCACGTTTTGAGTAAATTTCAATTCAACGTTAGCACTCTATATAATACAATACTGAATGAAAACAGCAGACCAAAGTTAATAAGTGTACAAAATGTCGAGGCTATCGCCCGTATTCTAAAAGCTCACTCGCACTCAATGAGTGGAGGTTCAATCTGAGCTTCTCTCGAGCGTCATGCTGTTTTTGAATAGCTGGAAGGTTAGTAGCCACATAGTAAGTTACGACACTAACACCTGTATTCTTAAAGCTCACTCACACTCAAAGAGCTAGTGGAAGTTCAATGTGAGCTTCCCCCGCGTGTCATTGCTGTTTTTGAATAGCTGGAGGGTTAGTGTCATACCTTATTCAGTGACTACTCCCTCTCCAGCTATTCAAGAACAACATTGACACTCAGAGAAGCTCAGATTAAACCTCCACTCATTGAGTGTGAGTGAGCTTTTAGAATACGGGCGTAAATTTTCAAAACTGTGGCACTATTATAGGGTCGTTTCTAAAAGCAGAAAAATTAATAGGAAATGTATGGGAATTTTGCATGCTTGTCATGACTCGATTCCATGCATGCAAATCCCCCTATATATATATTCTAATGAAATCTGGTTTTAAAAATAGCGCCACACTAATTTTGACTTGCTCTTTTCATTCTGGTACATTCATAGTCAATGTTAACATCAAATTTTAAATCGACTCGTAAATCGCGATAAAGATTTGTTGGTATTATGCCCCCTTGTTATTCTAACTCGTATTTTTAGGATGCTTGATCGGATACCTTTCAGAATACTGGGTTTTGTTTCAGGATGGTTTACGTTAACAAACTTTCTGTGATCAAAGTGGGAATTTTGCATAGGTAAATTTCTAAGTTTTGAAGGATTTGTAAGAAATGGCTCATTGTTTAACACCGAGTCAGTAGCCTTAAACAGTTCTTACGAGTCTCAAGCTTGTACCAGCTCAAATATGTGTCAGTGAGGTACAATTAAAAACCTCAAAATATCGCACGCGTGCTATTTACAGTATTAAAACTAAAACTTCACAAGGCCAAGTTTTCTAAGGTCACAATAACATTACGAAATTATCGAAAAATTTGCATATCTGTCATTTTGCCATTTCAAAAGTAATTACATATAGAAACTTCTCGCAAATTATGGCATATTACAAACCAATATACAGCAAGTTACTATGGAATGATACAAAAAAGATTTCGATTGCACTAAAATGTATCAATTAAAGAAATTAGAATAAGGTTGTCCAGATTAAATGCCTCAACTACTAAATTAAATACATGTAGTTCAAAAGCATTTGTTAAACGTAAATTTGTGTTTACATAGTTTGGGCATAGACTCCATTAATACCATAGTGTATTATAGCTAATCCATGAATTGTATGCCTAAAGGTATATGTTACAAATTAGAACATTAGAATGGTGGTTAGAATATCTGAGACACTTACCAGACGGCTTCTGCGATAACCCGGCACTGGCATTTTGAAAGACTCTTGATTCAAGTGACGAAAACACAATTTAAGTTTATAATTTAACCCTTCAGAGCCAAGCGATGCAGAACTTTGTTTGGAAACACATCAAAGAAGGAAATTGAAGATATCCTGACGTTGATACCAGTCAAATAGATACAATTCAACTTAAAAGCAGTCACATAAGTTCCACAAAGGAAGGAATCGCAACCTCGATAATTTCAACCCACATTGAGGAATTAAGATTCATAAAATAGCTGAATAATTTAGTTCTCAGTAGCGAAGTTTCAAAACGTGAAATTAACATAACTCGGCATTAATAAACCTTTATCCAACATATTTTAATGAGCCCTTTGACCAATAATATTTGACCTAGACATGCACCAATGATTCAGCTTTGTGTGAACGTTTGTGGATGTCAACAGGAGTTAACTAGGCACCCTGCTTCGCAAGCATTCGGAATGAAAAGCGGGCATTATATAGAAAAGCTACATTCTTGGTGTAATGGTGTGGGGGTTTTGTTATGGTTACGGATTGGTATGAAGGCTATATAGTTTACACCATCAAATTTCTGTGATCACAGTAGGAATTTTGCATTGGTAAATTCTAAGTTTTGAAGATTTTGTAAGAAATGTCAGAAGGAATTAACTAAGTGTTAAACAGCGAGTCAGTTTCCTCAAACATTTCTTACAAATCCTTCAAAACTTAGAAATTACCTATGAAAAATTCCTACTGTGATCACAGAAACTTTGATAGTGTGAACCAAGGATTTGGAAAAAAAATTCCAGTATATTACTTGGTCTGACGATGAATTTGTGATAGAATCGAAATATAATCATCTTAAAATTTTTTCTCTTATAATCATCGTAAAATTTTCTCTGGTCGTGCATGCGTCATCACTCTGCGTGTATCATAAAATAAACGTTACGTATAGCAGAAAACGTAAGATATAATTTTAGAAATTCTATTAAACAAGGGCTATAAAAAGCTGCTATTTGCCAGGATTTGTTAATTAGCCTTTTCCCCAAAGAGATCACAGTGCATTCTGGGATCGTTTGGAGGGACAAAATATATAGAGACAGGCGTCAAATATGTGAAAGAGTAGAAGTATCTACTATCAAATATCAACTTTTTACACAATCAAAAATGAAATATCTCCTTTTTACATTAAACATTTAATTTAAATGTGTGCTGCCATATTTCTTGTCCCTCTAAAAAGGGATTCGCGCGACTAGACCCAGGACTCTGGGAAATGGCTAATTGAATTTCCAGTCTGGTATAAAGATATTCTGAAACGACCATTCTAATGCTGTAATTTGTAACATATACCTTTAGGAGTACATCGTTTCACTTGTGTGGGCCCTAGGAAAGAGAAGTCTTTTGACTTACCAGGAATATTGGCTATACAATATTTTAAACCCTTTTGAAATAAAGATTATTATATAGAAATCAGATCAAGGATTACGATGTAATGCTTTAAAATATAAAACAAAGTTTTGCAGTATATGGTATAACGACAGCATTATCATGTAAATAGTAAAGCTAAATCTTTACGATCATAAAAAACCCCAGTAAATAAAGTATTATTTAAGCAAATTTGCATGCCAATTTTCAGCTACACGAAATTACAACAAAATACAACTAAATGCATGCCTTGCAGCATGGCTTTGCACTATAATAAGAAAGGTAATCGATGCAATTCATGGAACGCATGGTGTGCCTATTTTTTCTACGCCTTCATGAAGTACTGATCTATATACAGTACTGAACTGGACATATCAAAATACGTTACGATCAAGATAGCGATTAGGGTAGGATTAAAGATTTGGGATTAAGTTGAAAAATAAGAACTATTGGAATTGACCCCATTGAGCGCAAGTGCTCTCCCGTTTAGGAGTAAAATCGTCTGGCGTTAGACAGAGTAACATAATAAAGTAGCGCGTATTGGGGCGCAATCAGTTGGCCTCATCAACCTTGTTACAAGATGGTAACAACTTAGCTTGTTCCAGACTTGTGAACATAACCGAAACACTATATATAAACATTTACATCATGAAATAAAAATTCACAAGTCACTCACAGCTGCCACAATCCCTACATTACTGTTAATAGGACAAACAAACACTCATGTATATAAATAAATTTATAAACATTCCATCTATCCTTTTAACGTGCGTTAATAAGATACCCACGAATAAGCCCTTTTCCCAGATGTCCAAAGCCCAAACGAGCAAAGTTTCCCCTGATAAATTTACCCCAAAGGGTATTGGGCTGTCAATTTCCCGTTTGTAATCTAAAATGACTGAAAATTGCAAACTTCGCAAGGCTATATTATCTGCATTTTACAGCATTTCGCAACGAAACTTTGGAATATTACTAATTTTGTGATGCTCTTTCAAGCTGTGATGAAATTTTTGTCTAGATCAAAATTTAGTCTATTACGCAAGTGGTCAATTGGAAATTTTAAAAATAAATCAATCTTTATACTGATTACAAGGATATACTGAAATTCTATCTATGCGCGCCTTTTCATCAATGCATGATTGTTCAGATCAGTCAGAGCAGAATTTCTGTATCTTATTTGATAGACAGTTTTGGGCTTTTCGGAAACCCGACCAAAATCGACCAAAATGGATCCACGTTTTCGGTCACACCTATCTGAAACTCCAAAGTTTTCTATTCCATTTAACAATTTGATGAATGTGTCGGGTTTGGCCGTGTTTAACGGACGCGCCCTAATACATTGGCTGTCTTGACATGCATGCTTGCTTGCGACTGCCCCTACCAAATCGATACCAGGCTTTAAACCAGCCTCAAATCTACATTATCAAACCGCGAGGTTCAGCTCAACTTAACTCTGGCATGGTATAAAGTTTGATATAAATCTCCAATGTTTATACCGTTTTCATTATGCCATACACCTGGGATTATCTGATTACTCGTTTCCCTTTATTCTACATAAATGCTATCTGTGATCAAAGTGAGATTACCGTTATACAAGCCCCATAACGTACAGTAAGTTACAACCAAACTATATTCTCAATCATTCTTGGGTATTATTGCATGGTTTTACATTGACATTGTGTCAAACCATTATTGTCTCCTTGTATATAAACTAAAATAAAATGTGATTTATCGTTTAATTAAAATAGCACAATGCAGTACATACCTCGAGTTAAAATTTCAGCCCCAAACGGTGTGATACAGTTACAGGATTTATATCATACAAATACACAGCTCCAATGCTCAATTATTTGTGGCGAACAGTGGCTGAGGACATGAATTGCTCTTCGGAACACGTACAGAATCTTTTTGGATGTACACGAATGAAATTTTGTGTATAATGTAGTTTGTTTGTGATCAGAATGGATAAATTTTATTAATGCATGTTTGACATTTTTAAATACACAGGGTTGGTGTGTCAAAGAATAGCAATGTGAGAACCCTACGGCGTTTGAGATAATAGCTGTGTAATGAAAGTGAATCACGCACACAGATACGCTGGTCGAGCCATGAACTCACAAATAACTGAAAGTGATGGCCCATTTCCACTCAAGAAAATTTCCCTCGGAAAGAAAAATTTGTAAAATGTGATTTGGCCGACACAAATTTTCCGTCGGAAAAATATTTTGAAAATTTTACAATGATATTTTCGGAAAATGTTCTTAAGTAGAAATGGGCCATAAAACTCTCCCTGAAATCGGGCAGAGTTGTAAAAAAGCTGCAGGTGTGCGGGCACCACCCGAGGAAGGTTTAATATATGAACTTTATACGGGTACAGCTCGACAACTGGCCTCTGTAGCTCAGTTGGTTAGAGCGCTGCACCGGAATCGCAAAGCCATAATTTACAATATTTTGAGAAGGTTTGAAAAGTCGGAGGAATAGACCTTATTCATAAATCGTGACGAGGCCTCGTATGATCCTAGGATACGGGAACAAAACGCGGGAAAACTGCTTGACAAGCCAAATTCAGATGCTATTGTGTCGACTTTAACTGCTTGTTTCTTGTTGCGATTTATAACGATTTTTGTGTGTATTTTAAGACTTTGTTACCACAACGAAAGCGGTAAACGAGTATATTATAAAAGCGACTGGTTTTTCTCCCGTTTTTGTGTGGAAAAAATGACAACGTAGCGATGGTGTTTATCCAGAAGCGAAAAACAGTATTTTACTGAGATTTTAACGTCAATATAAAGGTAATATATTCCGTGAAAAATCAAGACAACTATGGAATGAAAGTATAATTTTTCGAATTTGAAAGAAAACAACTGGTCAAAAATCACAAGAGAACGTCAAATGTTATTGATTCGTACGGAAAAATATGAACTATGGCTGTGGCTCGATAACATTCTGCAAGCAGCTTACAAGTAAAAAAATGAAGGCTACATTACCTCGGAGTGAGTTGTAATCCTATTTCTTCAACAATAGTTCCATATTTCGTACGATTTTGGTGTTGTATAGACGTTTTGTAGCCTTGTTGGTTGTTTGTTTTGGCCATACAAACTTGGCAATAATACAAAGTCAAAGGTTTCCTTTTTCGATTGACTCCAGCATCTTTTACTTTAAATATCATGTTTTATTTTCTCAGAAGTATTTTTTTCAACTTTCAAGCTCAGTTTTATGGATATTATTTTCGAAAAAAGCCGTAATATTCACGAAAAAAGCTGCCATAGCCGACAGCAAAAAAACATTTTGTAATTTTTTGTTAATTTTCCCGCGTTTTCCGCCGTTTCCTAGGATACGAGGCCTCGTCACGATTTATGAATAAGGTCTATGTTGAAATCATGGTTGAAATCTCATATGAGGATGAAATATAACCCAGGGCACAGAATAAAGACATACAGAAGTGTATCTTCTTATTAAAAGTGCGTAAGGGATTTTTTCAGTCCGCCATGTTCTTAGCAAGTGTCCTAAAGAGAGGCAGTCACCCCCCTGAAAACATATTGAAAATTTAATATTCCAGGGGGGTGAATGCCTCTCTTTAGGGCACTTGCTAAGAACATGGCCGCCAGCTATTTCGGTAAAAAGCGCCTTACGGTTTTGTAATGGAAGTTACACTTCTGTATGTCTTTATTCTGTGCCCAGGGTCACCGGAGAAGGACACAGAAGGGCTACTCTTGCCCTAATTTCCTAAAGGGGGACAAGGTGGGGTTGGGCGGACAAAATTGCCTTTTAAAACAAATATTTTACCTGAAAAAATTCTATTTTTAAACATAAAATCCGGACTTGATGAGGAGACTGGGACTGAGTGTTCAAAAGTATCAATATGAACAAATTAACTGTAGCATTGGAAAGAACAGCACAACATTAATAGGTGCACAAAATTTTAATCACATTCCGATAAATATAGTTAAATACTGGGCTTTAACAAAATTACTATGCCTATGGCATCTGTGAAGTTTTGAGGTTTTACGGGAATACAGTTATGGTAAAAATGTTGAGAATTGTGTTTACCAAGCTATAAACTATAAAGTATAATTGCATAATTGCAAAGAGTTGTTTTTTTAAGTCTAATTATATTTGTCACAGACAGCACACACACACGACTCTTGAAGCTACCAGAAATATGTCCTAATTATATATATCATGGCATGTATTTTTATCGTATAAATATCCATTAAAATAAAATTATGTGCTAAATATATATTAAATGTGTGCATGGGCAATGCATGTCACACGTGATTGGACATACGCCATTAATGTAAAGCCATTATAATATAGGTACATAACCTTGACCAACGGAAATATAAATATGGTATAAATTTGAGAATTCTAAAGACGATATTTAACAATCTCCGACGGCAAATATTTGTGCCGCGGAAAACGTCAAAACAAAACGAAAAACGTCACGATAGCACGTCAAACGCCAACGATATGACGGCAATTATAATGGCAATTAGTATAGTTTGATAAAATGCTGGTTATACCATCAAAGACATGATATGTGGCATGCAGTGTTTAAGCGTGAATACTTTATTTCTATAAGATTTCAATTAAAAAATACAGATAGCAGTACCCTCAAAAAGATATCTCAGACATGGTGGTCCAGTGTAGGTAGGTATTCTACAATAAGCTGTCGTGGTTTGTGTCTGAACTACCTGAAAAAGATATCTCAAACGTGGTGGTCTAGTGTAGGTAGGTATTCTACAATAAGCTATCGTGGTTTGTGTCTGAACTACCTGAAAAAGATATCTCAAACGTGGACGTCCAATGTAGGTAGTGTTCTACAATAAACTGTCGTGGTTTGTATCTGAACTACCTGAAAAAGATACCTCAAACGTGGTGGTCCAGTGTAGGTAGTATTCTACAATAAACTGTCGTGGTTTGTGTCTGAACTACCTGAAAAAGATACCTCAAACATGGTGGTCCAGTGTAGGTAGGTATTCTACAATAAGCTGCAAAGGTTTGCGTCTGACCTACCAGAAAAATATTTCTAAGACGTGGGCGTCGAGTGTTCTCACTGTAGAAAACTACCTACATCACCACGTATTGTATTGTAGAATACTTATATACCTACACTGGACCACCATGTTTGAGATATCTTCTTGAAGTTCAGTTACAAACCACACTGAGCAGTTCATTGTAGAATACTACCTACACTGGGCCACCACGTTTGATATAACTTTCTAGTTAAAGTATTGATAGTAATATCTTCGTAAATAAAGATTTCTTTGTATAAAAGAATTTCCTGCCAATTATTAAGTTCCTGAAATAACTCGTGACCACAAAAAAGTCCTTCCTGAGCAGGATCAGATAAGATTTATGTGGGAGTACATTATACATGCCAAACCTCACGCACAAATACGATTTCTTACTTACGTGTATAATAAATATTATTATATAGTAGAAAGTGAGATACTAAAAAAATACACAGTGAGATATTTTCCATATCTTCACTAGTGAAGATATCAATCACATAACTTTTTCCAATTTGCTTTTGAGCGTGAAAATTCACATTTTTTTACTTGGGACTATACAATAAACAGAACATTACACGGTGGCTTGAAGATATGACTTTTATTTTCTCGTGTTAAAAACAATATTTTACTCACTCGCTCGTAAAATATTGTTTTCACCACTCGAAGATAAAATTCATATCTTCGCGCTGCCGTGTAATATCCTCTATTTAATTAACCCATTAAGCTGCAATGCACCCCAATGCACCTTAAGTTTTTAGTCAGTGTTTAACAATAAGTCAGTTTCCTCAAATATTTCTTACAAACCCTTCCTAATAATTTGCCTATGCAAAAAATTCCTACTGTGATCACAGAAACTTTGATAGTGTAAACCAGACTAAGAGTCTCAAGAAAATATTTGGTCCACTTAAATTGGATAGGACTCACTACCAATCCCCTTGACTCTGCAGCACAGAATACTATTATACTACACAGAATGGCACTGTGTGGGGAAAGCCATGGATATTTCCAGGGGGTGACTACTTCAAACTAACTGTTCAGAGTACTTGCTAAGTGACGGATCATGACGAATAGCGCTTTCGCAAAAAGCAATTGAGATGGCCTTCTGTGTAGTATTCTGTGTCTGCAGTGTCAGAATAATATGAAACTAGTGTTTCATATCTCTTGAGGATGGTTCTGAAATAGTAAAGGCTGATTCCATACTATGTGAATAAATGTACAAAACGTATGACAAGTAAAGAAAACTTACTTGACCACTGCGGTTACTCATGGTTGATGCTGAGGAGCCTGATAACGAAACAACAAAGAATTAAATTCAACCATCTATGGATTGTAGGTTGCGTCAAACTGTTTGAAAAATTTGGTTATTTCTCATGGTGTGTTGGGGTTTGCCATGCGGCCACACCTTTGAACCCAATCCTTAACCCACTTAGCTGCAATGTTCCCCAATAAAGGAATACCGAATGGTTTTCCGTGCAGGATTGCATGATCTGTGCATGAGGGATGTTGCGAGACTTTCGGAAAGCGTAAAAATACTTGAGCTGCAGACAAGTGTATTTTTATGCTTTCCGAAAGTCGAGCAACATCCCAAGTGCATGGTTACGCTATCCTGCTTGGAAAACCATTTGGTAATTGTTTTATAAAATAACTACAGTCTGTGAAACAATGACATTTTGAGAATCCCGCTAAGGCATTTTAATTCCTCATGCAGGATAGCCTGATCCTGCACGGCTATTGACCAATCAAATTGCATGTTTCACTGTAGTTATTATATAATGTGCCCAGAGTACTTTATTATCTTACTCTGTCTACTATGCAAAACAATTTTACTTTTGAAGAGGAGAGACTTGCATTATGCACATTAATGGGCTAACCAAACTAATCTGCCAGTGTGTCTATTATTGTACTCTGTTTAACAAAAGACAATTTTTAATATTTATCAGAGGGTTTAATAATTCTCAACATTAAATATGAATACAGTATGCTCACTGGCAAAAACATTACTGCTGCTCTAATAATATTTATTATTTTGAGAAATAATCATTGAAAACAAAAACAGTAGTCAAAAAATAATGTCCTGTTTGCAATATGCATGTAGAGTGGCTCAATGACTCATGCTTACCAGATCTGTTTGAATCATCATCTATTCCACTATCTCCACCACTTGTTACTGAAGACGAGCGAGAACTGTGGGTCTTCGGGAAAGAATCACGACGATTCTTTGAACGAAACAAACTCCTACGCATGATAATAAAGAAAAAAAAGAGTTAACCATTAAAGTTCATTAGATTCTCCCCTTGACAAGTAAAATCATCTGTATGAAAACATGGTGGAGGCAATCAATTTATCAATGGTTGTCCAGAAATATTTTTTTAAAAGAACATTACTGCATCTATTATATAATGCATTCAATTATATCTGACGAAAAGTGATCTACAAATTATAAAAAAATATAATATATTATTACTTACTTCATGTCCTCCCTAACAAACAATCCATTGGCTACTAGAAAAATCAAAGAACATTGCTCTTGTTACCATTAAAATTCTTCTTAACCCATTACGTGGCTGCACTAATTTCCCAATAACAAGTTAGTAAAATTGTCTGGCATTGGACAGAGTAAAATAACAAAGTAGGCCACATGAGAGGTCCATGATCAGCAATGCCACTTAAACCCACTGAATTGCATTGCACCTGATGCAACCTACTTTGTTTTAAATGTTTTGAGAATCTAAAAATTTTCCATAATGTTCTCTCAGAATGCTGGAAATGTCATTTCAGGGACCCAAATTTAAAAAATTTTCCGGGGGAGTATGCCCCGGAACACCCTAGAAATCTTCCGCCTTCGACGCTCGTTTTGCCATTGGTTAGCACACCCCCCCAAAAAAAAAACTTTGCTGGATCCACCACTGTAATTCTGATTAACTTTTCATCATGCAGACATTTAAATAACTAATTAATTAATATATTAAGTTTGCAGGTATTGAAACGTTGTGTAAATAGTTTTTCCTTTTATCCCTTTTCTTATTGATAGGTCAAATCTAGACTCGTTAACCCTTTATGGAAGTGGCAATGCACCCAGATGCACCCTTATTCCCCTTAACTTTATTATTTTACTCTGTCTAACACCAGATGATTTTACTTGTCAGGGGAAGAGTGCTGCCACTCAATGGGTTAATTCAGTTTTTGTATCTAGTTTACATTAAACTGCAAAAGAGTTTAGTAAACCTAAATTATTATTACAGTCGATTTCACAAAACTTTGACCACAAATGTTCCAAACTTTGTTGGGAAGGTTGCAAGTTCATATTGGAATTCACAAGCCTATTTGCAAAACAGTCCCTGATTGGTCCCTGAAGTAAAAGAAGCCAATCAGATGTGTAGTTTACAAACTGGTTTGTGAATCTCATTATGAACTTTTGAACTTCGCAACAAACTTGCAAAGTTTTCGGAACATTTGTGGTCAAAGTTATTATAAAAATGTTGCCAAACATGTGATTTCATACTGTGTATAATAATTTCAGTTGTTAGAGGATTTTTAGATGGAAATTTCATGCAAGGGAGCCGTTGTAAAAAACACAACTGTAGGCCATCTGACAGGCATCGAATCTGTGTTCCTGTAATTCTGATGTGGGGATCTAATCACTCAGCCGCAGAGTCTAGTTGCTAAAAGCTAACCACAATTTAACTTAATTTGAATATTAATTGACTTAATTTGACTTTTTAGAGACATTTTTCTAATAGAGTTTTTTGTATTATTTGTAAACACAGGTCCTTGTAGGATACCCGAAATTGAACTCAATAGCTGAACAAGTTAACCTGTTCAAATATAGAATATAATAATACAAATTGAAATCATGATGGTATGAAGGGTATGGCTAATTATATTTTAAAACTTCTCAAACTTGTTAAATGCAAAACAAAACCGTCTTTTACATAGCCACTTAAAATCACTTTGGCTTCTTAGGGAATCAACAAACTTTCTTTGTCATGAAACACTTTTTATACTTCCTGAATATTAAATGAGCTGTATAATTGAATAAATTCCAGACACGGTTTCCTTGCCAACGTGACAACAAGCATTGACCATGGATTTAAACCTGATAATATACCCTACTATTTGAACTATGATTTAACGTTTTTAACTGTATCAAAAAACAAACTACAGGTAATGGCAGTGAAATGCTAGGACCAAACATGGTCACACCATAAAGAGATATCTTTTTCAGGTAGTTCAGAAATAAACCACGACAGCTTATTGTAGAATGCTACCTACCACCACGTTTGAGATATCTTTTTCGGGAAGTTCAGACACAAACCACAACAGCTTATTGTAGAATACTACCTACACTGGACCACCACGTTTGAGATATCTTTTTCAGGTAGTTCAGACACAAACCACAACAGCTTATTGTACTACCTACACCGGACCACCACATTTGGGATATCCTTTTCAGGTAGTTCAGACACAAACCACGACAGCTTATCGTAGAATACCAACTACACTGGACCACCACGTTTGAGATATCCTTCTCAGGTAGTTCAGACACAAACCACGGCAGCTTATTGAAGAATTTACCTACACCATATCACCATGTTTGAGATTAGCAACTTGAAACCCAAGTCATGAGTCAAAATAAGACAACAATGAGCTCATATGATGTTTCGGATTTTTTTTTCTTCATATTTTTGAAAACTACAGCTTATTGTAAAATACTACCCACACTGGACCCCCATATTTGAAATGCTACGTACTATAAATTAAAGCTAATTTGAAAAAAACATTTGCTCTTAAGTGCAGAGCATCCACTTCGTTAAAATACACACACGTAAACAGAAATTTAATATTTTACTGATAATTGAACTTTATCATATGCGGTCCGAAGATCAACAACTTTACATGACATGACAATTTTATTGTAAACATGCAACAAACTGAGATATAGTAAACAATTTTGATAAAAATTGCGAGTTTCGCAAGACATAAATTAGAATTTTACGAAGCCAAATAGAAGCCACTTATCTGGGATTAGCAGTAAATTTTTATAAATTTGACCATATTGTCATATTTTGTTGACAATTTATTCACCTCAAGTCCTCAATTTGTTTGCACGTTTTCCCACAAAATAATCGATCATTTTGCCAATATTTGCAGACACGATAAAACACCAAATAAAGCCTCGCATTAAGGGCGAAAGTTCGGTACTTTTTCATACGAATTTGCCGAACGATATAAGTCTGCAGTACTCGACTAATCCCGTTCGCTGTTCGCCCCTTTATATATTAAGCAATTTTAAACTTTTACATCAAATTTAAACCGAATATCCTTGTACTGAATATATATACATACCTTACAGACACACAGAATGATTTTTCTGCAATTCTTTGCCTTATTTTTAACGAGAAATCCAAATAAACAGATGTTCAAATATAAAATATCGCTTCTGAACAATTTCAAATTTTGATATTTTCTAAGTGCGCATTAGAACACGCATTCTGTATTCGGAACACGAAACGAAAGGAACCGGAAGCTGTCCGAAGAGCATCCGAATGTAAACGAAGCTCGCGAACGTGCGGCGGCGAATGAGAATTTTCGTTTCGAAAAAACCCAAGATGGTGGGCGATATTTTTAATTTTTTTTTGCCAAAAACGTCAACTTTAAACAATGAAATTGCCTCGTTTTTTATTTTATCTGTTCCTTTTTGTTATTATTCTAGTATTACTGAATGTCCTTCTAATGTTTTATTTGACACATAGCAGAATATACGCGCTAAATGACTACGAAAAATTCGATTTTGATTATAAGGTAAGTCGCCAAGGAGTGGAGGTCTTGAGGGTATTGCCGGGAGATAAACAAATATTTTGACGAATTTTATTTCTGTACTTATACTTGGTGTAATGTTACTGTAGTGTATTAGTGCTAATTATAAGGTGGCAAAGAGGGACAAAATCTATTGCGTGACAGTCAACCAACCCTTTTATATCAGTTCTGGGGTGTTTCCAAGGAGAAATTTCCAAGAAAGCACATCAGACCCCTTCCATGCCCCTCCCCGACCCATGCACGATGTTCTAGCTACAGTATATAACCACTCGGGTTACACAACCATTGTGTAATGTTTTATTTCTATGTCAGGTCAATGAAGATTCATTCCTGTCGATTCACGACTTACCAGAAGACACGTCTGGGGAATATTATGTACATAAAAACTTCATTAGATCACAGAGCACAGATTCTTCAAGAGACATAGTCTTAGCAAGCCACTGCACTGGAGATCATCTGCATCATTTGGTGTCGCTGACTCAAGTCTGGCAGGGACCATTGTCCATTGGTTTGTATTTTCAGCTGGATTCATCAATGAATCAGGCACCCAGCCATTCCAACAGTTCGTCCATCTATTGGACTACTGGCTTTCAAAATTTATGAATTCAAACCAATTCGTAAAACTTATCTTTTCCAATACATTTATAGCTGTATTCATCCCTGGCTACAATCTGGAGAACACGCTATCGACTCTGTACATACTTTATGGCTGCTTCATCAAAGTCCGTCGGCAAGTCACGATCCATCTTGTCCACCCTATATCTGTAGTGCTGAATGACAGTGACCTAATGTTCCTGATTAGGAAATCTGAGGAGGTTCACACTAAATGCTCCAAGGCTTTGAAAGAGATTAAGAATACCAATAAAAATGTTGGCATCAATTATGACAGAAAGGTGGTGTACTAATAAATTGGCCTGGTATAATATACCCAGGGACGCCGGAACTGGGGGGGCAGGGGGGGCGGCTGCCCCCCTTGCCTTTTGGTAGGGGGGGCAGAAGTGCCCTTTTAGTTGTAAAAAAATATGTGATAAATCACATTTAGAACGATGGTATTTGTACAAAAATTATGAGATTCAGACAATTTACAGTTTCTATTTCACTTATGGTATGTCCGGAAAAATTTTTTGACCCCTAAAATGGTACACTGACCGAAATTTTTTTGGCGACGGGGGAGGGGAGGTCGCCGAAATTTTTTGATAAAAGCCGTTGACAACTTGTCAACAAACTGGGAACAAGCAGTGCGAACACATCCTGTTGACAAGTTGTTGGAACAGCATTGCTACAAGTCTGCTGCAGGTTTGTTACAACTTGTGCGTTTTTACCTGTGTATAATACACCATACAACACCTCTCAACATCCAACATAAAAATTAGTTTGCAAACTATACTGGGCACTGCCTCTAATCATTCAGAAATATTTCTCCTGCAGATAGAGTATCCCAACAATCTATTACGAAATACTGCCAAGCAAGGAGTTGCTTCACAATATTCCTTGGTTGTGGATATTGACATGAAACCAAACCAGAATTTATACACAGATTTCATGAATTTTGCCAGGAAAAATAATTTATTTGATGGTGGCAATAGCTTTTATAATGGTAAGATGAAAATTGGCTCACAGTAAATGCCTGCAGATGTTTTGTCATCGAATCTTTAATGGCAAAAAATTCGGCAAAAAATTAGGTTCATTGGATTGCATTTTTTGTTAGAAGCTGCCAAACCGGTATTTTCTTAGAGTTTGTCGCGCGTTATCGATATTTTATCTTCGTATTTGGCAGAAATGGACCTCAGAACTGACGAGAGAATTGAAATTTTCATGAGTGATTTCAGTTATAGACTAAATTTTGATCTAGGCAAGAAAAACGAAATCCAACACCACAGCTTGAAAGAGCGTCTTAGAATGAGTAAAACTGCAAAGATTGGTTGCTAAATGTTGTAAAATGAGGAAATATATAGCCCTGTGAAGTTCGCAAATTTTGTGTATATTTGTATTACGTGCGGTAAAAATAACCACTTTCGGCTCAAAAATGGTTATTTTTCCCGCGCGTAATACAAATACAGGGTGTCCCAAAAAAAAGTGACACTATAGAAATTATCCTATTGTTATAATTTGAATGCCCTAGATTAAGTTGATCGCACAGGTGCATAAACTTCTGCTTCTGGAATTTAAAATAAAAAAGCAAACCGTTTATTAGTGTAATCGTTTTGCTTGACTCGGGCGTTAAAATATTTGGACAAAGCGAAAACGTTTTAAAATGCTTAAATGTAAATACAAGTTCATTAAATTCCCAGGCGTGTAATCACGCGCGTTTAAGAGCGGCTTAAGAACAATGAGATAATTTCTATAGTGTCACTTTTTTTTGGGACACCCTGTATAATATACAAAATTTGCGAACTTCACAGGACTGTATTTTCCTCATTTTACAACAATTCGCAATGAAACTTTTCAATTTCACTCATTTTGAGATGCTCTTTCTAGCTGTGGTGATGAAGTTCGTTCTTCTTGTCGAGATCAAAATTTCGTGTATAGCTGGAAGCCTGGAATCATACATTGTCAGGTCCATTTTTGGCAAAAATCTGCAGATAGCGAGATGAAGAATTGATGACTCGGATCGGAGTCTTTGATGAAGAAGACTGTCTGTAATATTTTCCCATTTAGATAAAAGTGTTTTCGTGCTACCTGCCTTTGAAATAAACTCGAAGAAAACCGATGATATGCCCAAGGACAAATCACAATTGATCAGTCTTCTAGATAACGGAGCTGTCCGGCCATTTTATTACGATATTTGCTGGAAATGTCAGAGACCAACTGACTACGAAAAGTGGCGAAGGTTGGTTTCTGTTTTTAAAACGATGTCTATATTTCTCAAGGAACATAGCTGAAGAAAGGACGGGTTAGACAATCAACCGGAGTCGCGGCATTTCAACTGGATCAATAAGAGATGATCCTTACTGGACCTCTGGGAAGAACAGTTTAGAATTGATAGAGCTATCCAGTATAAATAAAGTTAGTTTAGTTTAGGTTTCCTCCTGTAGTAACACTGGATCAATAAGAGATGATCCTTACTGGACCTCTGGGAAGAACATTTTAGAACTGATAGAGCTATCTAGTATAAATAAAGTTAGTTTAGTTTAGGTTTCCTCCTGTAGTAACACTGGATCAATAAGAGATGATCCTTACTGGACCTCTAGGAAGAACAGCTTAGAACTGATAGAGCTATCGAGTATAAATAAAGTTAGTTTAGTTTAGGTTTCCTCCTGTAGTAACACTGGATCAATAAGAGATGATCCTTACTGGACCTCTAGGAAGAACAGTTTAGAACTGATAGAGCTATCGAGTATAAATAAAATTAGTTTAGTTTAGGTTTCCTCCTGTAGTAACACTGGATCAATAAGAGATGATCCTTACTGGACCTCTAGGAAGAACATTTTAGAACTGATAGAGCTATCGAGTATAAATAAAGTTAGTTTAGTTTAGGTTTCCTCCTGTAGTAACACTGGATCAATAAGAGATGATCCTTACTGGACCTCTAGGAAAAACAGTTTAGAACTGATAGAGCCATCCAGTATAAATAAAGTTAGTTAAGTTTAGGTTTCCTCCTGTAGTAACACTGGATCAATAAGAGATGATCCTTACTGGACCTCCAGGAAGAACAGTTTAGAATTGATAGAGCTATCCAGTATAAATAAAGTTAGTTTAGTTTAGGTTTCCTCCCGTAGTAACACTGGATCAATAAGAGATGATCCTCTTATACCGGACCTCTAGGGAGGAAAGATTGGAACTCATAGAGTTTTCCATTACAAAAAAACCTCTGAGGTACATTATTAATGCAGTATTATGACAACAGTAATATTGTAAAAGTATTCTTGTCTTAAATAATTTCCAACAATTTTTAGTTTAGCAGGCGAAGACATGGATGTTGGATATGAGATAAAATGGCAAGATCCTTGGGAGCCATTCTTTATATCGCCACGGTCGGCTCCTGATTATGATGAGAGATTTAAACAGGTAAGAACCATAGATATCTAATTTTCACTAGATAGCGCATCTCGTTTAGTAAAATTGAAGCCAAGAATATTCCAGCGGTTACCCCCATTTGAATAGGTGGCGGCCATGTTGGAGTTTCCCACTCGCTAATAAACGCTTAAAAAACAACAATAACTTTCATCATTTGAATAGTTTGAAAATGTATTTGGAATAGGTTAAACTTAATGTTTAAGTTCCCTGTTTAATTAAGAAATAAAACATACGAATCTTTTCATTTCATGGGAATATCCTGAGTCTGCAATCACGTCTTCAATTTTTGAATTGCAGAATAATTAGATGCACTATTTAGTGTATATAAGATATCTATGGTAAGAACCAGCAAGAATAGTAAGGATCAAGAATTCTTGGTTAATAATCCACCTTACATAATCCGGTTAACTCAACCATATACCTTGGTTAAATTAGCCTGCAGGATTATAACCAGGACTGTGGTTAAATTAACCAAGAAGATTAGGTTACCCCAAACAGGGTTAATTTTAATATTAATCTTAAGTTTAACCAGGGTGATTTTTGAAGTAAACCATTGTTTTTGTGTTTTAGTACGGATTCAACCGCATCAGTCATGCATGTGAACTGCACGTGGCTAGCTACAGATATTTCATCCTAGATCAAGGCTTCCTGGTTCATCAAGGCTTCAAAGACGGCACTTCGTTTCACAAGACAAAGAACGATGAAAATGATAAAAATAGGATATTGTTTCGTACGTTTAAGACTGAATTGAAAGATAAATATCCCGACTCAGTGAATAGATGTTAGCACAGCTTGTGTCAGTGGAGGTTGTGGCAATAATGAGAGAGTCTCCGATTGATAGAGATACAACTACCTGAAAAATACAAGGAGAACTTCGACGTTTTCGAGCGAAGGCCGTTCGTCGGAAAGTCGGCTCGAATTACAGGGGTGGAAAAAATAGGCGAGCACGCGAGCACTGCTCGCACAAAATGTTAAACAGCTGCAGGAAATTCGTTTGAATGAAGATTTGCTATTGAAAATTTGAAGGAAACCTCGACACCTATGTCCCACTATGGCCGCAACAACATATGGTTGACAGACATTATTCCTTGAATTTAAAAGCATGCTCAGCTAGAACACTATATGTTTATGCACATGCAGATTTAGCACAAAAATACTGCGTTGGTCTGCAGGAAATTTTTGTCTTCAGGTTGTGCTACCAGGAAGCAAATCTTTTTTCCTGCCCTGCCTCCAAACGTCGAAATTCTCCTAGGTATTTTTCGGTAGTTGTATCCTCATCAATCGCCATCTTTCTCATTATTATTGCCACACTAGTACACACCGTTTTAAGATTACCATAAAGCCAGTCACAAACATACAGCAAAAAAGCTCTGAAAATACTTTAAACACCGCATTCATAATATAAAAATTAATATCACAAAATCTATTTGGTATGTAATATGGTATTCGTCCTGTCGCCACTCTCCTCATTTTGTACTTTATTACTATGTAGCCTTAGCCCTTATTAGGTATGCATAGTTGACCATATAAAGCAGCATGCTTTGCGCATGCTCATTTATACAAACGCTGACCAAAATCCTCGCAGGCGCAGAGCTTGTAAACCAGCTGCCCAAAAGCCATTGCAGGCTCATTAAGTTACCTTACTTGGTACAACCGCCGACCACAATCACCGCAGGCGCATCAACACCAGCTCGCCTCGTCGCCATCTTTGATGGCGTATATAGAGTACGGACTTTGACCCCTGTTCACAGCTTCCGCTATTCTCTCGTTAATTTCCTTGATGAGATTAGCATCTTGTATGACCGAGGTCAGCGAGGGCCTGGGACTAGCTTCCGCCGATCGTATGACGTCAGGGAATGAGGGATCTAGGGCTGGGGGTGTGGGCGGCGGAGGGGTGCGTTCCAGCGTGGGGACTTGTAAGATTACTAGAGCAGGGGTGAGGGGTGGCCACGTGCCTTTGTAGATGGGGTATGAAGGTGATTTCCTGACAAGGTTTGGAATGAATTTCTCGTCGTCAATACTCTAGGACGGAATGGGAAATTACAAAATACTTAATGTAGTATTAACTGTAAGGTTGCTTGCGTCACGGCACCGGCTAGGATGTCTGATGTATGCCGGAAAGCCTGATTCACATTATCAAGGCTTCTGTGATCACAGTAGGAATTTTGCATGGGTAAATTCTAAGTTTTGAAGGATTTGTAAGAAATGTTTGAGAGAACTGGCTCAATGTTTAACACTGAATCAGTTTCCTCAAACAGTTCTTACAAATCCTTCAAAACTTATCTACACAAAATTCCTACTGTGATCACAGAAACTTTGACACTTTGAACCCGGCTTACGATAGCAATTGGCCATTCCGAAGTTGATGAGAGGACTGAGGATGAGTGTTAAAAAGTGCCCAAATTAAGAAATGAATAACTAAAAAGACCACCTCAAAATGAGTAAGTATACAAAGTTTGAAGACGTTTACATGAATACCCTTCGAATAATAAGCTTTCGAAAATCGCGATATTTACTATGAAATGTATTGTAATTTTTGTTTTTGGGACGCGTGTCCCAAAAACAATCTTTTAATTAATCAGTAATTTCACAATATACGAAAGCTTATTATTCGAAGGGTATTCATGTAAACGTCTTCAAACTTTGTATACTTACTAATTTTGAAGTGGGCATTTTAGTTATTAAGTTCATTTCTTAATTTGGGCACTTTTTAACACTCGTCCCTAGTTCTCTCATCAACTTCGGAATGGCTAATACTCTGGGAGGGAGCTGTAATCTTGGACATCACTGGTTGAAACTACCTTTCCCTCCACAAAAATTCGTATATTTTTATGATAAACTCCATGTTGAATCATGTTGCTCTTCTTAAGCCCCCGCTCCCACAACTCAACGCTGTTTACAACATTGAACTGGGGAGAGGGGGAGACATAGTTTGTTTTTGTCAATGTGCATTAACTTTGCAATATTGATGTTTGTGATGTTACTCTCTGAGTGTGCATCCACATCGGGCAAGCTGAAAAGTTTGCCTCCAAGAATGTGGCTTCGCAGAGTTAACATAAGAAATTCTGTTCATTTCTACTAGCCCGCGTGCAGGCCCACTATTCTTCCCTTGGGCCTGCACGCGGGCTACATTTCTACTGAATGGTCATATGCAAGTTCTCTTACCAGGGCGGGATTATCAAACGTGTAGGATCTTGGTTTAGGCAGAATTCTCTGACTTTCTTCACAGTCTATAATTGTTGGCTTAATATCAGTCAAATCCATCGGGATCTCCTGCAAAAATAATAGAGATTATTCCTGATCTGGGTTGAAGGATGTTACAATGCCCAACAAATTTTCAAAAAAAGCTTCCACATTTCGAGGGAACATCCAATCTCGTACACCTATACTGACACAAAACATTAACAATTTTCAAAAACCGTTTCTTTCTTAAAGTGCACTTAACCTCAATTCTTCTAACATCTCATTCCTAAGAACCTTTGAAATGATATTGTAACTTATTTTAAAAATTTACCTTTGCATACTTTGTCTCTGAGTTATTTCAATTTTATTGATATGCAAATGTCCGGAATTTACGTCACATATGAATAATGACTGATGAAAGAATGTAAGGTACAGTTAAATATCATGAAATAAAAAGGCTAAATGGTGTTTTACATTGGGATATGTAATCCTCCCACAACTCCAAACTTCATTTTAATGAATTAAACTGGATAGTGAATACGATATACAAGCTTTTACTTTAAATCTTTGTGCATTTGTGACGTAATTAAATTCCGGATATTTGCATACCAAACAAACTGAAATATCTCGGAAATAAAGTGAGCAAACGAGAATCTTCAAAATAAGTTATTATATAATTTCAGAAGTTCTTTAAAAGAATGAAATGATAAAAATAATTGAGTTCATTTCAACCATTTTCAACTGTAAAATTTACTATCCCCACTCGATTTCTAGTAAATCAGTGAACCTACCTCAGAGAAGGTCACTATCCGTCCACTCACTGTCGATCGATTTGCAGCGTTTCTTTTCTTGCGGAAAAATTTCATCGACTTATTTTTGCTAATTTTCACAGAGTTACTTGCCTTGTCACGGCTAAATATATAAAATGAACAATAAAACAAACTTACTTTAGTTACTTTATACTGGATAGTTATGTTGATTCTAAACTGTTCTCTCTAGAGGTCCAGTAAGGATCATCTCTTATTGATCCAGTGTTACTACAGGAGGAAACCTAAACTAAACTAACTTTATTTATACTGGATAGCTCTATCAGTTCTAAACTGTTCTTCCTAGAGATCCAATAAGGGTAAACTCTAATTGATCCATTTATTTATACTGGATAGCTCTATCAGTTCTAAACTGGTCTCCCCAGAGCTCCAGTAAGAATCAATTCTTATTGATCCAATGTTACTACAGGAGAAAACCCAAACTAAACTAACTTTATTTATACTGGATAGCTCTATCAGTTCTAAACTGTTCTTCCTAGAGGTTCAGTAAGGATCATCTCGTATTGATCCAGTGTTACTACAGGAGAAAACCCAAACTAAACTAACTTTATTTATACTGGATAGCTCTATCAGTTCTAAACTGTTCTTCCTAGAGGTTCAGTAAGGATCATCTCTTATTCATCCAGTGTTACTACAGGAGGAAACCCAAACTAAACTAACTTTATTTATACTGGATAGCTCTATCAGTTCTAAACTGTTCTTCCTAGAGGTCCAGTAAGAATCATCTCTTATTGATCTAGTGTTACTACAGGAGGAAATCTAAACTAAACTAACTTTATTTATACTGGCTAGCTCTATCAGTTCTAAACTGTTCTCCCCAGAGATCCAGTAAGGATCATCTCTTACTGATCTAGTGTTACTACAGGAGGAAACCTAAACTAAACTAACTTTATTTATACTGGCTAGCTCTATCAGTTCTAAACTGTTCTCCCCAGAGATCCAGTAAGGATCATCTCTTACTGATCTAGTGTTACTACAGGAGGAAACCTAAACTAAACTAACTTTATTTATACTGAATAGCTCTATCAGTTCTAAACTGTTCTCCCCAGAGATCCAGTAAGACTATCCCGTAAGTCCGTTTTCAACAAGTGACTTTTTCTTCTGTCGGCTTCGCTTAATATACAAATATACAAGACACTTACAGCGCTAATGGTGGAGTATTAAGGGTCCGAGACCTGCGCCTTCTGTCCAAGTGTGCAGCAGGTGGCGGCCGCAAGTGATCCTGGTTTCCAGTCTCCTCGTCTTCCAAACCCGAGCTCGAGGTACGCAAGGCGCCCATCAAGCGACGGAAGAGCGAGGGTTGTCGCTAGTTAGAAAAGAAATCAGTACCGATGAAGATACCATACTAATCAAGCAGGAATTACCTAAATCGGGTAATTTCTAGCTTCGCGAGGAAAATACTAACCAGACAGGGCTTAGAAAACTAATTAGAAAAACTCTAACCAGAAAAATTCTAACCAGACAGGGCTTAAGAAAATTGGAAAAAGAATCTTGAAGAGATGAGTCACCTTCTTCCTTCCTCGGAACTCCATTTCCTCCTGCTTTCTCTTTCGATTTTTGTAATTCTCATAAATCAACTTCGCGCAATAAACCTTCCCGATCGTCAGCTGATGAGAACTCAGTACTACAGAAAAGAGATTCTAAATCAATTTTCTACATCATAAATTATAAGAACTTCATTCAAGTTTCGAAATGTAAGCCCTGGGCAAACTAGAAAACATTGTTGTGGAAACATGTGTGATTCTCGATTGTTGTGGAAACAAGATTTGCTTCCCGAGAAGCAAAAATGTTTCCTAGCGAATTCAGAAACATTTGATATTTCCCTATGTTTCTCACTAATGTTTCCTACTGTTTGCCCACTCTGGGAAACTTGGCGAAACATTGGCAGGAAACAATGTTTCCGCAACAATGTTTCCAAGTTTGCCCAGGGCATTAGTTTCGAAATTTCAGGCTGCACTACCTGAGTCACGAGGGACCATTCTATTCAAAATCTTCGGCGAGACTTTGGGCCACAATCGTTTTATAACTTGTCTCAGTTCTTCGTCTCCTCGGGATGGTTCGCCATTGTTATGAATTCCGAGTGCTGTACGAATCAAGGCGACGAGAGTCGAAGTGAAGAGGACAGTGCTGTCACCCATTATAGGCATGTTCATTTTGATCAAACGCTGTCGAGATGAAAAGTATGGTCAGGAATGCAACTTGGGTGAATCCTTTTGAAGTGATCGTGATGATGGTGATGATGTTGGTGATGATGTTGATGTTGATGTTGATGTTGATGTTGATGTTGATGTTGATGTTGATGTTGATGTTGATGTTGATGTTGATGTTGATGTTGATGTTGATGATGATGATGGTGATGATGATGATGGTGATGGTGATGGTGGTGGTGATGATGACGATGGTGATGATGATGATGATGATGATGATGATGATGATGATGATGATGATGATGTCATGATGATGATGATGATGATGGTGATGATGATGATGATGATGATAATGATGATGATGATGGTGATGATGATGATGATGATGATGTCATGATGATGATGATGATGTCATGATGATGATGTCATGATGATGATGATGATGATGATGGTGATGATGATGATGATGGTGATGATGATGATGATGATGATGATGATAATGATGATGATGTTGGTGATGATATTGGTGATGATGATAGTGATGATAATGATGATAATGGTGATGATAATGATAATGATGATAATGGTGATGATGGTGATGATGGTGATGATGATGGTGATGATGATGGTGATGATGATGATGATGATGATGATAATGATGATGATGATGGTGATGATGATGATGATGATGATGATGATGATGATAATGATGATGATGTTGGTGATGATATTGGTAATGATGATAGTGATGATAATGATGATAATGGTGATGATAATGATAATGATGATAATGGTGATGATGGTGATGATGATGATGATGATAATGGTGATGATGTTGATGGTGATGATGATGACAATGGTGGTGATAATAACACCATCATCACATCACCACTACCATCACAATCACAATCACCATCAAAACCACCTCTAGACCATAATCATCAGTATTTACCAACTACATGAAATGTGAGTCGTCTTCTTACTTTATATGCAAGGAACCTTGGACATTTTCTCCCGAAGCCAACAGGAGGCGACATGTCACACATTAGACGGTACACATTCTTGTGAGTGATCCGACCTCTATACAAAAAAAAAAACACAACACAAACGTTTAGGAAGAAAAGGTACAGAACAATATTAAACACCGATTCATTTCCCTCAAACATTTTTTACAAATCCATCAAAATTTATCTATGTAAAATTCAAGAACTTTTCCAGGACTTTCAAGGCCCTTTTTCAGTAAATTCAGGGACATGGAAGTGGGAAAAATCTTTGAAAATGGCCGACTTTGATAGACTTTAACCAGCAAATAATTCACCTTACTCAGTAAATTTAATCAAAATCACTAATGTTGGCACAGCTGGAGGTTAAGGAAATTAATTCCAGGACTTTCAAGGACTTCTACTGATTTTCAAGGACTTTCCAGTCCTGGAATTTGTTTTCCAATTCAAGGACTTTCCAGGATTATCAAGGCCCGTGGACACCCTGTATAAACGAAATGTCTAAATGAAATGCTATAAAACCGTGACCGTAAAATAGACCTACGTCGCTGTAGGATCATATTCTGACCAAACTCTAACAAACTCATCCAAATGATGAGGTCCCAAGATGGACTCATCCCGAGTCAGATATTCAAAGTTGTCCAAGATTACAGCGACGAACAGATTCAACATCTGAAATTCAAAAGTATGCAATATGATGTGCAAGTCTTTCGGGATGTTTTGGCACAAAAGTTAGTTTATGTGCCTTCCAAAACTTGCGACTGTGGTTCCAGTCCTGAAATTTCATTCCAGAGTTATCCAGCATAAACAAAGTTAGTTTAGTATAGGTTTCCTCCTGTAGTAACACTGGTTCAATAAGGGATGATCCTTACTGGACCTCCAGGGAGAACAGTTTAGAACTGATAGAGCTATCCAGTACAAATAAAGTTAGTTTAGTTTGGTCTCCTCCTGTAGAAACACTGGATCAATAAGATATAATCCTTACTGCACCTCTAGGAAGAACAGTTTAGAACTGATAGAGCTAGCCAGAAAAATAAAGTTAGTTAGTTTAGGTTTCCTCCTGTAGAAACACTGGATCAATAAGATATAATCCTTACTGCACCTCTAGGAAGAACAGTTTAGAACTGACAGAGCTATCCAGTATAAATAAAGTTAGTTTAGTTTAGGCTTCCTCCTGTAGTAACACTGGATCAATAAGAGATGACCCTTACTGGACCTCTATGGAGAACAATTTAGAACTGATAGAGCTATCCAGTATAAATAAAGTTAGTTTAGTTTATGTTTCCTACTGTAGTAACACTGGATCAATAAGAGATGATCCTTAATGGACCTCTAGGGAGAACAGTTTAGAACTGATAAAGCTATATAGTATAAAGTTAGTTTAATTTCAATTCGTGACTTACCAAAAACGAGCACAGGAAATAAAATGAACAAAAATAGATTATAGAAGCAGCCGTGTTCCCGCACTTGGCCCCATGTCCCTGACCAGCTCGACTATCACATAATGCTTGACCAAAACAATCCTTCATTACAAGATGCCAACTCTCGCCTGTAGCTGCCCTAAAATGGGAAAAATATTTATTATATAATCACTCTGAACACCGTGAAGGTATGTGGTGACATCTTGTATAAGCTAAACTAACTTTATTTATACTGGATAGCTATGAACGTTCTCCCTAGAGGTCCAGTAAGGGTTAATCTTTATTGTTTCAGTGTTAATACAGGAGGAAACCTAAACTAAACTAAATTTTTATTCATAATGGATAGCTCTATCAGTTCTAATCTGTTCTCCCTAGAGGTCCACTGAATTAAATCTTCTCTTATTGCTCTTGTGTTACAACAGGAGGAAATCTTAACTAACTTTAAGTTCTTTGAATGTTTGCATGGCGATAAAATATAATTGTTTATTGCAGTAATAAATTTACGTGGTGTTTCCACAAACAAAAACAATTAACTAACTTTATTTATACCTAAATACCTCTATCAGTTCTAAACTGTTCTCCGATCCCTAGAGGTATTTGAAAGAGAGAAAGCTTTCTTCTCGCAAGTGACTGAGGCAAAATTATAAATAAATAGACAACTGGTCTATGAAGTAATTCTAACCTGAACAAGACTTGCAAGGCTCGAGGAAAACTTTGAAAGTTGTTGTGATGTTTAATATTCGTTGTATCGTTTAACTGGATTCTGCCAAACAGCTACAAATAGAGGAAAATTAGTCTCATCCTATTTTCATTGCATTAAGACTGAAAGCTTTGTACTTATAAAGCATTTCTCACCTGCATCCCAACCACAGCATAAATAAAGAACAGTATTGCCATTAGTGTGACGACGTAAGGCAAGGCTTTGAGTGACTGCAAGAAAGTCCATAACAACATTCGTATCGTGTAGCCCTGCCGGATCAGTTTGATGAGACGAGCAGCCCGGAACAGACGGAAGAATGTTGGATCAATTGGAATATCTGAGGTGCCCTGAAAACAACGAACACAATATGTCATACACACGCCCCCGAGCCGAAATTATTATAAACTAAAATAAGACTCGCTTCTTATTCACTCCGTGTTACTACAGGAGGAAATCTAAACTAAACTAATTTTACTTATACTTATACTTATACTAGATAGCTCTATCAGTTCTAAACTGTTCTTCTTAGAGGTCCAGTGAGGATCATCTCTTGTTGATCCAGTGTTACTACAGGAGGAAACCTACACTAAACTAACTTTATTTATACTGGATAGCTCTATCAGTTCTAAATTGTTCTCCCTAGAGATCCAGTAAGGGTCATCTCTTATTGATCCATTGTTGCTACAGGAGGAAATCTAAACTAAACTAACTTTATTGATACTGGATAGCTCTATCAGTTCTAAATTGTTCTTCCTAAAGGTCCAGTAAGGATCAACTCTTATTGATCCAGTGTTACTACAGGAGGAAACCTAAACTAAACTAACTTTATTTACACTGGATACCTCTATCAGTTCTAAACTGTTTTTCCTAGAGGTCCAGTAAGGATACTATGGCATCAACAATGTCTTAAAAAGATACTCACTCGAACAAAGTTTAAGATTACACCAGAAAATGTTATAAGGACAATGATGAAGTCGAAGATATTCCAACCATCTCGGAAATAATTCTGAAAAACAAAAAAATAATTTACAACGACCATTCGCTGTTCAGTTGCCAGTTTTCTGCATGGCTAAAGAAATTGTAGAGCTTTGGGCTATGGACATACCGTTCTGAACGCCACAAGCTTGAGGATAGCTTCGATCGTAAATAATATGGTAAAACCGGTGTTCATATAGATCAGGGTGTTCTCATATGCTTCGCTCATACCATCGTACTAGTAGGAAGAAAATAATTAAGATTAGTCCTGGTGATTGTAATAATGGTGATGATGGTAATGATGATTATGATGATTATGATGGTGATAATGATGACAATGACAATGGTCGTGATGATAATGATGATAGTGATGATGATAATGGTGATGATGATGATAATGATGATGGTGATAATGATGATGGTGATAGTGGTGATGGTTTTCGTGATGGTGTTGAAGATGATGATAATGATAATGGTGATTATGATGTGATAACAGTTGTAATAATGATGATATTAATAATGGTGATGACAGTGATAATGTTGATGATGATGGTGATAATGGTGATGATGATGGTTTTCGTGATGGTGTTGGAGATGATGATATTGATAATGGTGATTATGATGTGATAATGATAGTAATAATGATATTGATAATGGTGATGATAGTGATAATGTTGATGATGATAATGGTGATGATTATGGTGATGGTTTTCGTGATGGTATTGGAGATGATGATATTGATAATGGTGATTATGATGATGGTGATGATAGTGATGATGATAATGAGATTGATAATGGTGATGATAGTGATTATGATGATATTGATAATGGTGGCGGTGATGGTGATAGTGATGGTTGTCATATTGATGATGGTAGCGCTATGGTGTTCAAGGTAATCATCTACCATCACAATGTAATAAAAACAAATCTTCCAGATTGAGTCACTCACCGACATCATAAGAACAACGGCATTGAGCGCAATAAGAACCATGATGGTGATTTCGAAAGGCTTCGATTCCACCAGGACCCACATCTTGTATGAGATGGTACTTTTATCTTCCGGCATGAAACGTTGACGTGGCTTAGCGTTTATAGCAAATTGAATGCAGTCACGCTGAAATGAAAGAACACAGAAGTTATAAAGAAGCAATTACGTTGTTTGATTTTGAAAGAATGTGAAAATAAAGTTAGTTTATTTGTGCGTTTGCATGGCGATAAAACATATAATAGTTTTGTTTGTGGAAACACCACGTAAATTTATTACTGCAAAGCTTTCGATCCGTAAGCCCGGATCTTCATTCATCCCTTATTGATCCAGTGTTACTACAGGAGGAAACTTAAACTAAACTAACTTTATTTATACTGGATAGTTCCATCAGTTCTAAACTGTTCTTTCTAGAGGTCCAGTAAGGATCATCTCTTATTGATCCAGTGTTACTACAGGAGGAAACCTAAACTAAACTAACTTTATTTATACTGGATAGCTCTATCAGTTCTAAACTGTTCTTCCTAGAGGTCCAGTAAGGATCATCTCTTGTTGATCCAGTGTTACTACAGGAGGAAACCTAAACTAAACTAACTTTATTTATACTGGATAGCTCTATCAGTTCTAAACTGTTCTCCCTAGAGGTCCAGTAAGGATCATCTCTTATTGATCCAGTGTTACTACGGGAGGAAACCTAAACTAACCTAACTTTATAATAGGCTTTGCAGTAATACATTTACGTGGTGTTTCCACAAACAAAACTATTATAAAGTTAGTTTAGTTTAGGTTTCCTCCTGTAGTAACACTGAATCAATAAGAGATAACTCATACTGGACCTCTAGGGAGAAGAACAGTTTAGAACTGATAGATCTAGAACAGCTAGGCCTTACTTGATTGCGGTCTAGATCACTGGCCAGTATATTCCGTTCTCCAGATTCTTGAAAAGTGACGATGATCAACGCCACGAATATATTTATAAAGAAAAAGGCAAACACGACAACAAAACAAACGTAATAAATGGACATGTGGATCTTATAATCGCGAATTGGACCCATGTTTACTTCAGTTGCATCAACCGTATGGTACATTGTTCTGAAACAGAAAAATACTGAAGTTTCAGTCTGAAGTCCCAAGAGATTGGCAAATTTGGCTAACCTTCGTTTATACCCAATCCATGCACAACTTTAGAAAACTCACATGCCTAGTTACTATTGTTCTAGTATACAGAAACATAACATCAGAACAAAGGTAACTAAGCTTTAGATTATCTACATGCGTGAATAACTTTTATATATAACTCTAATGCTAAGTTACATCTGTTCCAATCTATGTTTCCATACAGGGTATAAGTAAATAAAAACTGATACCTTCGCGGCTAATTTGAATAACAAAGGTGTCAGTTTTTTTACTCACCCTGCAAACTGCATGGAACAATGATAACTAGACATGTCAGTTATCTAAAAGATTTGTCCTGATTTACATAAACTTCAGCTTTGATTTTCTCTGCTTAGACAATGTTTATTTTTAAAATTACTTCGCCAATGAACTCATAAGATGGGTCGTCTTATAAACACGATAAAACATTCGCATCCGATCTTTATCTGATATACAAACTCTCGCCTTCGGCTCGAGTTTTTATATCAGATAAAGGTCGGCTGCTCATGTTTTATCTAGTACTAAAACGCTTGGCTGCGCCTCGCGTTTTATATCTGATATAAAACGCTCCTACTCGTGTTCTAAATAGTACTTAAACTTACGTGGGCCATCCTTCGCCAGTCAAAGAGGAAAACAAAGTGAGCATTGCGTGAGGGAGTGAATCAAAATTGAAGACACGTTTTTTCCATTCACGCTTCGTAACCTAGAAAATAAGAGAAATTTGAAAACATGCAGGGCATAAGACTAAATCAAAACAATACAAGATTTAAGTTCTTTGTAGGTTTGCATGGCGATAAAACATATAATACTTTTTTTGTGAAAACACCACGTAAATTTATTACTGCAAAGCTTTCGATCCGTAAGCCCGGACCTTCATCAATGCTAATAATATGTGACTTGTTCTATTTATTTTGCAATTATATACCAGTGTTCATAAAACAAAAAGACTGACCTTATATGATGCAATGTCTTCATGTTGTCCTGCCCGATAATAGTTGAAAAACTGGCCTCTGGCAAAATAAGTTTTTTTGAAAGTTATATACAGGGTGTATAAAAAAAAACTGCACAGATTTGAAATTTGCTCTTAAATTTGCAAAACAGCTATTAGTATCCAGTTTTTTATGTATATAGCTTCTTTGGGTATATACTTATAATGTAGAAAAATGGAAAAAATTTCTCGAACTCAAATTTTGTGAACCAGGGGTGTGTGTCTTTTCCAACAAACTAAAAATGGCTTGCGCACGAAATTTAAAAGCTTTAATCATATTTTAAGTTAACAGATGGAAAGTTTGTTGGGTGTTTAATTACTGTACAAAATTTCAGACAATTTGCTTCAGTTTACGCCCTTTAACTATTCACACAAACTTACATTTTTTCTTAAAAAATCACCATTTGCATGCTAATCAATGCCTTTGCCTAATTTGCATATGTCAGCAATATGCAAATTAGGTAAAGGCATTAATTAAACATGCGAAAGGCTAATTTTTTAGAGAAAAATGAATAGTTAAAGGCTTAAACTAAAGCAAATTAATTTTTTACAGTAAAGCAAAGCAAATTTTGTACAGTAATTAAAAACCCAACAAATGTTCCACCTATCAACTCAAAATATGATTAAAGCTTTTAAATTTCGTGCGCAAGCCATTTTTAGTTTGTTGGAAAAGACACACACCCCCCCTGGTTTACAAACTTTGAGTTCGAGAAATTTTTTCCATTTTTCTACATTATAAGTACCCAAAGAAACTATATACATCAAAAACTGGATACTAATAGCTGTTTTACGAAATTGAGAGCAATTTCAAATCTGTGCAGTTTTTTTATACAACCTGTATAGGAGAAAACAGCACCAAAATCCACACTAATAATACAAACGTTTTTCGAAAGCCTAGACTTACTTGCAAGTATCTTCTGTTCTCTTTGAAGGATCTGTACAATAAAATAATTTTCCCTAAAAATATTAGAACATTTTGTTATACCGTGGACAGTGGTATTCCCTTCGTCATTGTTTTTAAAGATATTCGTTACAGATTTTCCTTAAAATCTTAAGTTAGACCTTTTACAGACTCTGCATGGCAGCTGCCAGCGAGTTTATACCAAACTGCAGTAGATAAAATTTTTCTACCTGAAATAGTTGTACACCAATGACGGCAAAAATGAACAAGAATAACAAAGTGATCAAGATTATATTGATGACATTCTTCAGAGAATAAACCATGCACTGAAACACAGTCTATAAAACACAGAGGAAAAATCAAAAACTGAAGTTCCACAAAGAATCCTATAATTCACGTTAAAATTTCACATTCACTCGGTCTGTACTAAATCTACTCCTGCAAGGATTCTTCTTCTTGTTTATTAGTTCATTGACTGTCTCACTCATCGGTGAGCGGATTTCCCGACAGGCTATATTGCGCAGTTGATATGGGATGCGAGGTACCTACGATTTTAACGTCCTTATCCGAGAAGACGCGAAAGTCTAACCATTTACTGATGTCAATGTAAAGGTAGTACTTTCTCCTCAATTATTTTAAGACCTTGAGTAGAGGTCCGACCAAGGGTTGAACCCGCGGATCTCCTAGCTTGAAGGCAAGCGTGGTGACCAATACCATTATTACACCAACACGATGATTCGTTATGCAGACGAATGGTCCCTACCTTCAGCTTTCTTGATTTATTAATGGCCTTCAAAGGACGCAGTACGCGAAGGACTCGAAGACATTTGAGAATATCTTTTCCACTGCCAATCTCAGATGATGATGTTCTAATTCGATTAAAAGAACAACTAGTAAGTAACGTTCTACTTCGCTATTCTAATACAGTATACTACAAGTAAACTTCCTTAGAACTTAGAAGATACAAAGATTGGTTCGGTCCGCAACAATAAAATCTACAGGGATGCTTTCTATACCTATCAACAAGCTATCGTAAATACACTGACACTGTATTTAACAAAGGAGTTTCCATATGGAATTGTCTTGATGAAGAAATTAAAAATATTAAATCAAATTTTTCTTTTAAGAAAACTGCGAAATTACATTACTTGATGTCTAGTTGATGTAAATATTTTAGGAATACTAATGACACTGCACAGCATGCGCAATGCACTAATCCTTAAACTTTTTCCATTTGTTTGTAAATAGTTTGTGGTTTTCCGATTGCAAATTGTCCGTATGTACATAGTCTATATTTTTATATTACTGAAAACGAAAACAATAGGGGCCTCGTCACAAAAGTCCAACAAAATTTCCATAGGTCTGTAGCCCGTTGTACTATTCAATACTTGTCAATATTTTTGTGGGTGAATAGAAAAAATATGCTAATCTAACCTGATAACTAATGTTGCGACGTTTGCACAAACAACCACTGCATCAATGACATTCCATGGATCTCGGAAATACGAGCCTTTGTGAAGTATAGCTCCCATATCGATAATCTGCAAGGAATGGAATCTGGTTAGTGCAAAAAAATCCCTAAGTATTTTTACACAAAAAACCCGAATGAAATAATGTACCACAAATTTATAAGCAAAGTTACTCAATTTTTGGAGTAAAGTTTCAAATTCACTCAATAGACCTTTCCCCTTTTAAGTGAAATTTTGATCTAGACAAGTCTGGACAAAAAATCACAGCTTGAACGAGCATCACAAAATTAGTAATATTCCGAAGTTTCATTGCGAAATGTTGTAAAATGCGGATAATATAGCCTTGCGAAGTTTGCCGTTTTTCAGTCATTTGGTATTACAAACGGGAAATTGATAATCAGTTTGATCATCTGATTATACCAATTTCCCGTTTGTAATGCAGAATGACTGAAAAACGCCAAACTTAGCAAGGCTGTATTATCCGCATTTTACAACATTTTGTAACGAAACTTTGGAATATTACTAATTTTGCGATGCTCTTTCAAGCTGTGATGAAATTTTTGTCCAGACTTGTCTAGATCAAAATTTCACTTAAAAGGGGAAAGGTCTATTGAGTATTGTTCGAGAAAAGATTTACTTAACTCGAGTCATTAGAGACCCGCTTAGGATCTAGGATGGCAACATGACGACCTCGGCTAGTAATACAATGAAATTAATAATATTAAAGAAAAGAAATGAATAATTAAAATCCATGCACGGGAGATTTAGACTTCGTCCTCGGTTTGTTTACAACCAGTACACCAGGCCTACTTTGGGGGCCAAGGTTGCCGTTATTATGTGCAACATTGTGCGACATTAGCAATTTTCAAAGAAAAGTAGTATATGCATCGCTGGGCGAAACTGGGCGACATTAGGAGAATAGACTGTTAGGCAAAGTTAAAAAATTGGGTGCATATGGGCGACATTAAGCGACCTTGGCCCCCAAAGTAGGCCTACGTTCGGCATAAGCATTCGTCTTATAGATGTTGACGCCGTTGAATATGTTCGGCATAACCATTCAACTTTGCAATCATTCATTTGAATGAATTTGTTTTGGCCGTCGTCGACGCCTAAGGTGTCTATACTCATGTGGGATGCATTATTTTACTGAACTTTTTGAGTCAAAAACTTTTGCTCTGTGTTTTCAAGGCACGTCAGGACGTTCAACTGACAGGAAGACATTGAAAACATACCTTAATGACAACTTCAATTGCAAATACAACTGTAAAAACCCAATCGAAGTAGGCTAAAATCTAGAATGGAGAAGAGTTATTATTAATATATAAGCTAGTTTACAGGTAGGGAGTTTCTTTCATCAAAGTATGCGGCAGTGTGAATCTCTTCTAAGGCATGCTAAGAATTGCAATCGAACCCACCTCTGAGACCGTGGGTCCGATTCTCATGACACGTATGGGTGAAAAGAGTCAGTCAACACCCTACCGAGAGTCGTGGGTTTTCCCCGGGTACTCCGGTTTCCTCCCACAGGGAAAGTTGACAGGGTGGGTTGGGGATTAACCCCTTAACTGACCCTTCCACCGTAGCTGTGCACAGTGATCAGACATGAGTCTGCATCAGGTGGCTCGTACCTTATTTCTCTCGGACTGACCAAAAGGTTCAACAGGATCCTCTATGGCCAAAGACAGGCTGCTGATGGCAATCATTAACAAGATGACGTCATCAAAATATCGAAGATTCACAATCCAGTGACATAGTCTTCGTATACTGAAAGTTACAAGAATAAAACATTTTGTTTCTACTGGATAGTTCCATCAGTTCTAAACTGTTCTTCATAGAGGTCCAGTAAGGATCATCTCTTATTGATCCAGTGTTACTACAGGAGGAAACCTAAACTAAACTAACTTTATTTATACTGGATAGCTCTATCAGTTCTAAACTGTTCTTCCTAGAGGTCCAGTAAGGATCATCTCTTATTGATCCAGTCTTACTACAGGAGGAAACCTAAACTAAACTAACTTTATTTATACTGGATAGCTCTATCAGTTCTAAACTGTTCTTCCTAGAGGTCCAGTAAGGATCATCTCTTATTGATTCAGTGTTACTGCAGGAGGAAACCTGAACTAAACTAACTTTATTTATACTGGACAGCTCTATCAGTTCTAAACTGTTCTTCCTAGAGGTCCAGTAAGGATCATCTCTTATTGATCCAGTGTTACTACAGGAGGAAACCTAAACTAAACTAACTTTATTTATACTGGATGGCTCTATCAGTTCTAAACTGTTCTTCCTAGAGGTCCAGTAAGGATCATCTCTTATTGATCCAGTGTTGCTACAGGAGGAAACCTAAACTAAACTAACTTTATTTATACTGGATAGATCTATCAGTTCTAAACTGTTCTTCCTAGAGGTCCAGTAAGGATCATCTCTTATTGATCCAGTGTTACCACAGGAGGAAACCTAAACTAAACTAACTTTATTTATACTGGATAGATCTATCAGTTCTAAACTGTTCTTCCTAGAGGTCTAGTAAGGATCATCTCTTATTGATCCAGTGTTACTACAGGAGGAAACCTAAACTAAACTAACTTTATTTATACTGGATAGCTCTATCTGTTCTAGACTGTTCTTCCTAGAGGTCCAGTAAGGATCATCTCTTATTGATCCAGTCTTACTACAGGAGGAAACCTGAACTAAACTAACTTTATTTATACTGGATAGCTCTATCTGTTCTAGACTGTTCTCCCTAGAGGTCCAGTAAGGATCATCTCTTATTGATCCAGTGTTACTACAGAAGGAAACCTGAACTAAACTAACTTTATTTATACTGGATAGCTCTATCAGTTCTAAACTGTTCTTCCTAGAGGTCTAGTAAGGATAATCTCTTATTGATCCAGTGTTACTACAGGAGGAAACCTAAACTAAACTAACTTTATTTATACTGGATAGCTCT